CCCCGGGCGAGCGCGCCCCCTGGCCACCGCTCGCTTGGACGCCATACCGGGGCCCCCTTAGTCGCCCCCCAGCGCCGTGCGCGCCCGGGGGCGGGGCCAGACTTAGCCCCCGACCCTTGCGCCCCCAGGTCAACTCCAAAGAGGAGCGGCCCCGGCGTGGGGCGCGGGGCGCGGACGCGGCGCTGGACAGCTAGGAGGGTGCCCGGTAGTTGGCCTCGGTCCGCCCTGGCCTTGCCCGGTTCGCCCCGGGGCCCACCTGACTGCGATGGCGCCCCCCGGAAACAGTCCCCCCCCAGCGCCGCCGCCGCCGAGAGGAGGACGGCGCAGCGCAGCCGACACCGACACAAGGCTCTGAGCGTCCGACGGCCTTTGCCAGGGCTGATCCCACTCAGGGAACCGCGCCGCGCAGGGCCACCGGGCTGCTGGACACCGGAGCCGCGCGTACGTTGGGCTGCAGCACCCCCGCTGGGGCGCACGACCACCCACTCCTTGGGAACGGACACCCTTCACTCGGCGGTGCACACCGCCCAGGAACGCACACACACGTTCTCTGGGCACAGACACACAACATGGCAGACTCACAGTCTGGCCCAGTGGGAGGCACAGACCCAGGGTCAGTCACTCGGCGGTGCACACCGCCCAGGAACGCACACACACGTTCTCTGGGCACAGACACACAACATGGCAGACTCACAGTCTGGCCCAGTGGGATCCACAGACCCAGGGTCAGCGCACTGACTGACGGGGGGTGGGGTGGGTGGGGGGGGGTGGGTAGCCCAGGACACACGCACACGCACGCTTGCATACACACCTCTTCGACGGACAAGGACCCTCACCAGGCCTGGGCAAGGAAAGCTCCAGTCCTATAGAATGGACACACATCAGTGAGGCCCAGGGAGGAACAGGCAGCTTAGTACTTTGCCTGGACAGAGGAAATACCCACATTCATACACTGGGTGAGGGCCTCTGGGGACAGCACCGACAAAATGCCAGGTGGAAGCACACACAAGAGGACCACATCCCTAAAACTCCAAAGGTACAATCCCTGGGACTTCTCTCTGGTGTTGGAAAATGAAAAAGTCAGGAGACAGAGGAGCCAGCCAGCCTTCAGAAACCTTTCTGAAACAAGGTGAGACATAAATAAACAAATGAACTTAAAGCTACAGAGCTATTTATAAAGAGAAAAATGAACCAGACAAACTTAGAGTCGCAGAGATGCATATGAGATATAAAAACAAGCAGAATTGGAATCAGTGAGAAAATAGGCCCACCACCATCACAGGAAGATTCCAGGGAAGAACTCCACCCCCACTCCAACCAGGTCACAATGGCTGGAGCTCTGAGGTACCCAGGTCCCCTGAGCCAGCAGGAGAGGAGGAAGTCCAAGGAAAGATGGTGAGTGTGAGGGCCAGCAGGGCAGAGGGCAGCACTCTCCCTGCAGCTCTGAGCTGCTCTCCTTCCCCTCAGCCCTTAAAACCTCTCAGCTGTCTTAGAGACCCTGAACCTCAAGTGACATTTGTAATTGCATACCAGATGTCCCTGGAACCTGTGACATCACACAGACACACAGCATCTGAGGCCGCCTGCCCTTCCTCAAACCCTGGGTCCTTTTTCTCCTCCCAGGAACAACTTACCCAGAGACACATGAAGTTCCAGGACCACTCAGGCCCTGCTTCCTGCTTTAGATGCTGAAGGCCCACGTTGCACCACCTCATCCATCCTCAGGCCCTTTCTAGCTCCCAAGAGTTCCTCAGCAAAAGTCTGCCCCTCTGATGTCCCACAGGGTCCCAGACTCCAGCCTGGCCCAGGTCCCTTGGCTGTGGCTGCCCTCATGCCCAAGCTGCTTTCTCCCTAACAGGCTGGCAATCACCCCTACTTCAACCTGCCTGACTTCACCCAGCCATCACCACCCTCCACTCCGCCCAGCCTCCCATTGCATCAGCGCTTCCGGCCCTCCGATGCCACCAAGGGCCTGCTCGTGGCCCTGCTGGGTGGAGGGCTGCCCGCCGGTTTCGTGGGCCCTTTCTCCCGCATGGCTTACCAGGCTTCCCACTTGCCCTCGCTGGAGCTGCTCATCTGGCGCTGCCTCTTCCACCTCCCCATTGCTCTGCTACTTAAACTTCGCGGTGACCCACTGTTGGGACCTCCTGAAGTCCGGAGCCGGGCCTGCCTCCACGCCCTGCTCAATGTCCTCAGCATTGGATGTGCCTACAGCGCAGTTCAGATGGTGCCCGCTGGCAACGCTGCCACCGTTCGCAAAGGTTCTTCCACCATCTGCTCTGCCCTCCTCGCCCTCTGCCTTGAGAGCCAGGGTCTCAGCGGCTACGACTGGTGTGGCCTGTTGGGCAGCACTCTGGGACTAATCATCATTGTGGGACCTGGACTAGGGACACTGCAGGAGGGGACCACGGGCCTCTACATCGCCCTGGGCTATGTGCTGGCTTTCCTGGGAGGGTTGGCACTATCGCTGGGCCTTCTGGTCTATCGCTCTCTGCACTTCCCCTCCTGCCTACCAACAGTGGCCTTCCTGTTTGGCTTGGTGGGGCTGCTGGGCTCTGTGCCGGGCCTCTTTTGGCTGCAGACCCCGGTGCTGCCCACTGATCCTTTGAGCTGGAGCTGTGTGGGGGCAGTGGGGATCCTCGCCTTGGTCTCCTTTGTGTGCGTGAGCTATGCGGTCACCAAGGCCCACCCTGCCCTGGTGTGTGCCGTCCTGCACTCTGAGGTGGTGGTGGCCCTGATGCTCCAGTATTACGTGCTCTACGAGACTGTGGCGCCTTCTGACATCATGGGGGCAGGGGTCGTGTTGGGCAGCATTGCCATCATCACGGCCCAGAACCTCAGCTGCGAAAAGGAAGGGCAGGTGGAAGAGTGAGAGCCTGGGGGTTGGGGGGCGGGCAGGGGGAAATACAAGGAGAGACTGGAAGACACACATGGGAGAACAAGTAATCGAGGAACAACAGGTGTGGGAGACAGGAGTCAAGGAGACTTGGTGGAGAGTGACAACCTGGGTGACCTGGAAGAAGCCTGGGGGCCGAGGGACATGGAGTCCAGGCTGGGGCTGGGAGTCAGTGCGTAACTAAGGGGAAAAGCCTGAGGAGCAGATCCAAGCGGCTGAGGCGAGTCAGGGTGTAGGCCATGGGAGGATTCCCCTCGGTAGTGGTGGTGGTGGCAGTGGCAGCGCAGAGTCAAGCTTTTGGGCTGTAGTGTTCCCTGCCTTTAGGTAAACAGCAAGAGAGCAAGCAGCTGCACTGGGGGAGGAGAGCTTGCCCTTCCCCCTGGGCATGATTTCCTTTCCTCGAGATTGTGTGCCCACCCATCTTAGGTGGTGACGTGACTTTGACATCAAACAAGGATCGCTCTGAATGTTGCAGTGCAGTTGGTGTCATCTCTGCTTAGGAAGGAGAGGGGAAGTCCTTCACTGCTCTTGTGGGTGAATCCCTTGGGATCCCCACCCCCCCATCTTATTTCAGAAATAGTCTAGAAGGTGAAGGATTTCCTAATATTCAGAGTCCTTGACCACTCAAATCCCCCAGGACTTTCGTATCCCACCCCGGGGCTAATCTGCTTTTCCCGGATTGCTGTGGTCCCATGATTTCTCCCGGACGGTGGCCAGAGCCTCCTCCCAGAGTAGGCCTCCCAAGTCGAGGCCTCTTCGAGCGGCTAAAGCCGGGGATCCAGAACCAAGGCTCGGTACAGTGCTCCATTACAGGCTAAGAGATGTCCACTCGTCCCTGGGGTACAGCTCGACAAATATCGGCTACTTCCGGACAAGCAATTGGCCTCGCCATCTTGATCTGCTCATACATATTCAGCGCGAGACTGCATATTCATGACCAAAGCCCCAGCACTCCCTCCGGGAACCCAGTCCCGACCCCTCGACTGGCCCCGCCTTCATTACGAGTCGCAGATCAAACCATTTTCCAGCTGGGGGTGGAATATTACTGAGAGACTTTTGTTGAAGATGAAATCGAATTCCAAAAAAGAATAAAAGCGGCCTAACTTCACGCTCAATCATTCAATCCTAACGCCTGAATGCAGGAGGTAACAGCAATGGGAGGTGGGGGGATTCAGAAAAATTCCTCTCCGCTAGTCATTTCAAAAGGTCGCCCAAACAGAGGGCCGGGATGGCAGACTCAACGACTCGGGCACGCGCCCCGTGCAGACCTGCGCAGGCGGCCCCGTAGCGCAAGGGAGGGCGGGAAAGGAAGGGGCGGGGACGGAGGGGCGAATCTATAAAGGGCATCATTCGGCCAGTTCGCTCCTCAGAAGCGCCGAGAGCGCGACCGGGACGGTTGGAGAAGAAGGCGGCTCCCGGAAGGGGGAGAGACAAACTGCCGTAACCTCTGCCGTTCAGGAGCCCGGTTACTTATTTATTCGTTACCCCTTTTCTTCTTCCTCCCCCTCAAAACCTTTTCCTTTCCCCTTCTTTTTTTTTCCTTTTTGGGAGCCGAAGAATCTCGGGAAAGGGGAGGAATCCCCTCCTCCGGCTTTTTCTTCCTAACTCGGGGAGGTCCTTCCCGGTGGCCGCCCCGACGGGGTCTGAGCACCTAGGCGGAGGCGGCGCAGGCTTTTTGTAGTGAGGTTTGCGCCTGCGCAGCGCGCCTGCCTCTGCGATGCACGGGGGTGGCCCCCCCTCCGGGGACAGCGCATGCCCGCTGCGCACCATCAAGAGAGTGCAGTTCGGAGTCCTCAGTCCGGATGAACTGGTAAGCCGCTCTGCCCTCCCCCTCCCTCTCCCTCCCGCGCTTGCAGGCGGGGCTTGACGGTGGCTGCGGAAACTTGGCGCTTCTCGCTGCCTCCGGGTGACGAGCTGGGAGGTTGGACTAGCCTCGCCAAGACTGTGCGGGCTCCAGCCTCCGGCCACCTAGGGTCAATTTTGCAAGGATTCGAGCGAGTTTAGCGCTGTGTCCAAGAGGGGGTCTTGGCTGGAGGGTGAAAGAGTGATTCCACACTGCAGAATTATCACAGTTAAAGGAGATCAAACAAATGCTACGGGATCCAAATGCAAGTTTGGATAGGAAGCCGAGCCCCGCACTTCCCCCACTCTCTTCTACAAATGTTAATTGAGCACCTGCTATGTGATAGACACTACAGACGCTGGGGACAGAACCAAAGAAACACCAAAACCCTGCCTTCTACAGCACTTTCTGTGGGGGGGATGGGGAGACATAGAACGTGAATAAATAAAAATAATTAATGGCAAGCACCTCATACAGTGAAACAAGATAATACTGTGGAGAGTCACCAAGGTGGAACTGCTTTCCGGGGGATGATGTCACGGTCTAGGAAGGCCCTTATGAAGAGGCGACATTATGTGAAAGATAAGCAGCCAGGGCCAGCCCTGGTGAGAAGGGTTCAGTCCTGTTGCATGTGCATACACGTGCCTCCCCCAAATCCCGAGAGAATGGAGAAGAGATTGCCCTGGCCATGTCTCTTAGGGGGGGTGATTCCCCATTCCCCTCACGCCTCCGTCCACTAGGGAGCCCATGGGCCCTGTGAATAATTTAAAAAAAGAAATCATGAATCACTAGGCCATAGATTCTGGGGTAGCAGAGGAAATGGCAAAGGGCTTGAAAGAAAAATGAACTTGTACGAGTAGGTTGGGGTTTAGTGGGCAAGAAGAATCTGTTGCAGAAATACTCTGGAAAAGCATGAGATATTGTAAAACATGGTAAGGAGCCAGGATTTGGGGCAATTATTGGCAGGAGAGTGACTACAGGTTTTCATTAAAAAAATAAATAAATACGGCTGTGGTTACTATGAGAAGAGGTGGGAAGGGTAAGAGTGGAAGCAGGGGAGACCAGAGAGGACATAGTCGTAGTCAGAAGTGCTGTTGGTGACCTGGACACCTGCCTTTGTGGAGTTAACAGGAGGAAGGCAGTTGGCTGGAGAAAGTCAAGTTCAATGGCAATGTTAGGGATGAAGACAATTTTGAGGAAGAGAAGACTCAGCTTTGTCAGGAATCAGAATATCCTGACCTCACACCATTCGAAAGAATAAATTCCATATGGAATTAAGATTGAAATCTTAAAAAACAAAAAGAACAAGAAAATGACACACCAAAACAAACCCAGAAAGCACTAAAAAATATTATAGAAGATTTTTGAAGAGCTGATACCAGGGGTAGAAACCTTTAATAATAAAAGTAAATTTTATGGAGTCCCTAAACTGAGTTACACATTAGACATACAAGGAAGAGTAAGGCAGATTTCACTGCATAAAAATAAGAGCTGCTTCTCTTTATTTTCTTAAGTAATTATTTAATTTTTAAAAAGAATTATCTTATTTAACTTTATTTCAGTTTGACCAGAGAGGGACAGGGTGAGAGAGGAAGTGAGAAAGCAGGTCTGGGACTCGAACCATGATCAGTCATGTGGGAGTCCAGCTCTTCAACCACCACGCCAGCCACCTGCAGGCCCCTTAATTTAAATTTTTTTTATTATTTAATTTGACAAGAGGGAGACAGAGAAGAAAAGTGAGAAAGCAAGCCACCAGGTCTGGGATTCGAACCACAGATGGTTACGTGGGAGTCTGGCACATTAACTACTACACAGGCCCCAAGTGCTTCTCTTTATCAGAGGCATCATAGACAAAGCTAAAAAACAGATTGGGAAACAATATTTGCAATGTGATAAACAAGGTTACAAATCCGTAAAGACCCTACACATCTAGAAAAATGGATAACGTGAACAGGCGGGCCCGGCATGTGGCGTGGTAGTTAAGGGTGCTGGACTCATGGCTGATTGCGGGGTTTGAGTCCCGGACCTGGTAACTTGCTTTCTCACTTTTCCTCTCCTTCTCTCTTATTCTCCTCCTCTCTGGTCAAATTAAAAGGAATAAAGTTAAAAAAAAAAAAAAAAAAAGACCATGAAAAGAAAAAAATTAAAAAAAAAAAAAAAAAAAAGACCATGAACAGACTGTACAGAAATAGTGTAAATGGCCAATAAACTATAATGGCTTACAAATAAAAGCAAGCAAATTAATTTTTTTCCTCTTACCTGATTTTTCCCTGATGGCAAACAAATTAGGAAATATAGGCATGCTTATAGGTTATTAGAAGGATAAATTACTGTAACCTTTGTAGAGAACAATAGCAGTTTAATCACCCTTTAACGTGTACGCTTTGACCAGAATTACCATTTCCTTTTTTTTTTCCAGCATTACCATTTCTAAAAACTTATCCTTAAATAAAAAATCTTTTAATCCCCCCCCTTTTTTTAGAGGTTTTTGCTATAGGGTATGTGCGCTCACCAGAAAGAGAGAGAGAGACAGGGAGACAGAAAGTAAGAAATCATCCCCCCGGGGGATAGCCACGCTGCAGTCCCTTCTCCTCTTGGGATCTTGGGCACTCACACACACACAGCATGCCTGGTGTGAGTTTAAGCCACCGGATCCAGGACTCAAACCACATATGGGAGTCAAGCGACATAGCCATTATGCCATCTGCTGGTCCTGAATTTCCCCTTTTAGACATGCACCTCCTCCAATTTTGCCTGGCTCAGAAACTGGCTTCTCCGTTTATCCGTTGAGTCAAGTCACTTATGACCATCTCTACCACTCATTCCACCACCATCTTTCCCCTGGACTACTGCAGTAGCCCCGTTGGTTTTCTTGCTGTTTGCACACCATCTAGATCAAGCTAGAAAGATTTTTTCATCCCCTGCTGGAGTCCTTTCCAGAGGATCCATAAGGCCCTGTGGCTCCCACTCGTTTCTCCACCTCATTTGTCTCTTCTCTGCTTTTCTTTAACCACACTGACCTGCTTGTTTTTCCCACATTACAAGCTCATTCCTGCCTCGGGGACTTTGTCACTGTTGTGGCTGCTGGGAACTACAGTGCCCAGACTTCGGCATGCCTGTTCCTTTATATCTGTCTGTCCTCTGTTCACCTGTTACATCCTTAGGTGCTCCTTCCTGACCCCTCTATTTAAGTAGCACCCCCAGTATTCTCTAACCTCCGTCCTCTATTTTGTATGTTTTTCTGTTTCTTGTTCCTACAGTAGAATGCAGTTTTTTGTTGTTGTTGTTGTTTTTTTTTTTTTTGGAGAGGCTTTTGCTATAGGGCGCGTACGCTCACCAGACAGACAGAGACAGAGAGACAGAAAGCAGGAAATCACCCCCCAGGGGGGATGGGCACGCACGCACACGTGCCCGGCGTGAGTTTAAGCCACCGGGTCCGGGACTCGAACCGCAGTCGACCACGTGGGAGTCCAGTGACATAGCCATTACGCTAACTGCTGGTCCCTAGAATGCAGTTTTCATGTGGGACCTTGTCCACATTATTGACCCCTGTTCCCCCAGCATCTCAAATAGTACTTGGCATTGGCACTTAATAGGCATCTGTTGAAATGAGTTGAATAAATGATTGAATGAAGATCTGGAGGATTTGTAAAGATACATGTATTATAGAAGAGGTCTTTATTGCAACATTAAAAAAAATAAATTAGAGGGTCAGCTGGTAGCTTGATGGTTGAGGCAGCCAGTGGCTGACTGCACCGCTCAAGGCCTCAACCTGGCAGCTTGAAAAAAAAAACCAGCCGAGCATGTGTGCATATATACCCAAAATCCTAAAAGGAGAAAGAATCAAACCCCTGAGGGGTGCTCTCGCAAACATACATGCCCTATAGCAAACTACAGAAGGGGGGGGGCACAGCCAGGTGATGTGGTGTTAAGGCAGCTGCATCCCACATGGTCAACTTTATGGTTTGAGGCCTGCACCCAGTGGCTTGAAAAGCATACCAGGCGTGTATGCATGTTTGCCCAAAATTCTGAGGAGACTGGAGAAAGGGATTGTGGCTTGGTCAGACTGCCTGGGGGGGTGTGTCTGTCTCTGTCAAGCACATATGCCCTATAGCAAAACTAAAAATAAATTAAAATATAAACCGTGATCCTTGGGGCCAGCAGGAGGTGTGGTGGTTAAGGGTGCTGGACTCCCACATGGCTGACTGGGGTTTGAGTCCTAGACCTGGCAGCTTGCTTTCTCACTTTCTCTCTCTCTGTCCCTCTCTGGTCGAATTAAAAAAAAAAATAGATAAATAAAATAATACTTAAAAAAAAAAAAGAAAAAATGTGGGGAACCAGCAGTTAGCGTAATGGCTATGTCGCTGGACTCCCGCGTAGTCGACTGCGGTTCACGTCCTGGACCCGGTGGCTTAAAACACGCCAGGCGCATGTGCGTGCGTGCCCAAGATCCCGAGAGGAGAATGGAGGAGAAGAGATTGCGGCGAAAAGATAAATAAAATAATACTTAAAAAAAAAAAAGAAAAAATGTGGGGAACCAGCAGTTAGCGTAATGGCTATGTCGCTGGACTCCCGCGTAGTCGACTGCGGTTCACGTCCTGGACCCGGTGGCTTAAAACACGCCAGGCGCATGTGCGTGCGTGCCCAAGATCCCGAGAGGAGAATGGAGGAGAAGAGATTGCGGCGTGACCATCCCCCCCGGGGGGTGATTTCTCGCTTTCTGTCTCTTATGTCTCTCTCTGTCTGGCGAGCGCACGCGCCCTATAGCAAAAATCTCTCCAAAAAAAAAAAAAAAAAAAAAAGATGATCCTTGTCCTCAAGGATTCCAGTCCAGTGAGCGAGACAGATATGTGATGAGTAAAAGTTGGCTGAGAATCTTTCTGCAGTGTGGCTAAGGTTAGGAAGAGTTAAAGATGACTTTACAAGGAGTTGACATCTGAATTGAGGCTTAAAGAATGAATAGAATT